GACGGGCCGTCTCAGAGTCTTGAAGGACAAGTCTGGACGCCCTCTTACCAAGGATGATTATATTCTTCAGCGACGGAGAGAGTACCTTAAAGAACTAATTAACTCCGTGCAACCGCAGGAAGACTCGCCTGTAGAGCAGCAGCGAACAGAAATTACTATTTCTGCAGGTGAATTCACACAAAGAGCGTGAAAAGTGGAAAGGCTGTTAGAACTGATGAAATCTGCTCTTAGATGCTCAAGGCATTTGGCGAACAAGGCATGTGCTGGCTTACACGTGTTTGTCAAACTGCAATTGCTACGGGAAAGACATCGGCTGAATGGAGAACGGAGGTTGTAGTACCCCCGTTCAACACGGGAAACCACAAGGAGTGCTCCAATTATTAGTACATCACCTTATTGAGCCTCCCAGATAAAGTCTACGCAAAGGTGCTAGAAAGGAGGTGCCGCGAAATAACTTACCTCAAGATCAAGAAGAACAGTATGGCTTCCGGCCCAGTCGAAGCACCTCTAACCATGCATTTGCCGTGCTCCAGATGATTGAAAAATCGTAGGAGTTCACTCATCCAGTTCGTATGTGCTTTGCGGACCTAACGAAAGACCATAATCAGATCTCGCGCAACAATCTATCTGCATGCTTACGAACATATTGGATCGACCGACAGCCAGTTATTAAGAGCCATCCAGACTCTATATTCTGACAGCAGGTGTTACGAATGTCAGAATAAACTGTTCATTTATAGCCTTTCAGCTTTCGCACTGGTCTGCACAAAGACTGCGTTGTGTCCCCTCTCCAGTTCGTGTTGTACATGAAAGAATAGACAGGCGCAGCCAAGGAGACGAGTGTCTGCGTAGGAGACGTCGAGATGAGAAGGTTGCTGTAAAGATCGACCAGTGGACTGGAGTAGCCAGTGGCGTTCTGCGTGAATTAGTCCGAACCAGTGTGATTAAATTAGAGGTGAACCTGAAGATAAGCTCTTGGTGTTCAAATCTACCCTCATTCCCATGTTCACCGACGATCATGAGTCATGGGCCATGACTGAAAATTTTTGATCCCGGGTACAAGCATCTGAAACGGGCATTCTGAGACGAGTCACTGACCTTATGCGTCTTGACATGGTGCGGAATACTGACATCTGGGAGAGCATTAGTGCACAGGTTCTGCATTTCCAGACTGAGAATTTACGCTTCGATGGTTCGGGCAAGCAGGTGTTGCGAATGCCTCCAGAAGGCCCAGGGGACGGCCAAGATTAACCTGGTGCAAATATATGGAAGGAGTCTGTTCCAGACTCAAGTTGTCCTCTGCGAAGCTCAGACTGTGGCACATGATCGAAGCACTGTCTGTTGCGTCTCACTTCAATGCTCGAAAGGAGAATCAGTCATGGTAACTGAAGTGAAATGATCTAATACAACGTTCAATACATTCATATACGACCGCTGACCTGCTCTGCCGACAATTTTCAGAACCGATCAATATTTGCGTAGGTTTACTTTACGAAGGAACAAGCATACTGCTAAAGCATATGCAATTAAAAGGAGTGATTAGTCTAATAGCCAGTTTCTTGATTATTTTAGAGGTCTGCAATGAAATCAGACATTTAAATGAATCACCATCTACTTTGATGACTAGCTTTCCAGCGTGCGCAGCATGCAATTCTATCTATAGCAATATTAAGATAGTTTGGAATAAAAACATATGCACTAATTTCTTCTGCAGCAAAATACAGGGGAAGAGGCAGTTTGGCCATTGCATTAAAAGCATGCTTGCTGAGCCGGAATAAACAGTCCTGATCTTACTATGATTGAAGATTAAACTATATTCCTATGGCCAGTCTGGCATGGAAGTATCTTCGCAGGAACGGTATGTGAGACCATCCACGAAAGTATGAGCAACAAGAAATAATGCCTGTGGCAAAGAATTACTCCAGTGAGGAATGATAAGAAGCACGGATCATTTCAACAATTTCCCCTGAAACTCACCTTCGACCTTTGCATCCATATTCGATTCTACCTTCCTGATGCAGTTGTTGGAGTTTTTCTAAAAAGCCGGTGAATATGCCGAACATCTGCATGATATGTACTTTACCTCATTATCACCCGAGCCAATGAAGTCAGGAACCGGGACATTGATTTTAACCGCGATGTCCGGTAACCTGCTAAGTTGAAAACGGGGATCCTAAACAGTAATGAACGTAAGTCTACATAAAACATAATCGGAAAGGGTATGAGATGACAAATTATGAGGTGTCTCTTCTAAGATCTAAAAGTTTAATAAGCGTATCATAAGTCGTTTGCGACCGATATCAGTCTAGTTATTACATTTCAGCTGTGATGGGACAGAAACATGTGAAGCTGAAGCGTAGGAGGAAACGCATACGTGGGGTAACGATTGACCCAATCGAGCAAATCACTTCCGGTCAACTCATCTCACAGTAATTTACATTTGTTTGATAGAGAAATACTGTTTTTCTAGTCCGATTGTTTGTGAACAACTTTGCCGAGTTGCTTCAGGTACAAGAACCTTTCTTCTGAGAATCGTTCAGGAAAGAGGAGCAAACGATGAACAGTACCGATGATCAGCACATTCCTGCAGTGCCTTTGGAAGCAATCATCTGCTGAAGATCAGGCCAGACTACTAATTTGGGTACTCGGTTCTTGATGATAATGACAACAATAACAATCTGCTAGATTTGCAATTAAGAATATTATTACTGAAGAATACAAAGATTCATGGACAAATACGATGTAAAGATGGTATATTGCTCCACCCAGAAATCGAGCTGTATGCATAAGAAAAGAACCTATCCACAACAAAAGACACCTGTGAACGTTTATCGCCTTAACCACGCTATTAGAAAAAAACTTCGCTTGGAAGACTGCAAGGAAACTCAAATCAGGATAAGGAGATATACATCTTGCATATGAAGAGAACAAAAATACTCTAGGCATGGCGGAACACAGCATCAAGAACTATGACAATCACTGGAACTCAAGCAAACAACCAAATCGAAATAGAGGTTGGGGCAAAGAAAGCTTCAGAGGAACAGATTCACAGCAAAACGAATAGACGGAAGGTATGTGCGATCTGTTCGACCCGGTTACAACTGCCGCAAAACGACAAGCCTTAATCGTCTCAGCTTGGACAGAATGATGACGTTTCCAAACACGAGTGATAAAGTCAAAGTCACATTTCAGTTCTCAAACATATGACTGGGTGGAAAGTAATTAAGAATAAGACAATGGACGAGAGAACGACCAAAATATTTTTTTATTCAACTCCTAACGTTGGGAACCCAAGATGTTTTAAAGTTGCCTACTATCGACAGCAGAAAATCCAAATACTCAACACAGACATGACCATGGCTGATCTACAATTAATGAATCGACATTGATTAAAGCCCGATGCTCCGTTTGTGTTAATGAAAATATGAGACAATAAAACCTCTCCTTTAGCTGGAATTTATTGTTAAGGTAATTATCAACATGGTTCTCAAAATTTTTTCTGATCGTTGCTTCCTTTTGTCGACAACCGTAAAGTTTCGAACTCTTCCTGCCCCTTCCCCATCCCGGTTTCAATTTCATACAAATTATTTATAAGGTTTATGACTACTGTGATGCTGACAAAGGATTACCATTCCAGGGTTTCGAAACCTTCGCGTTGAACAAATGCTTTATGCACCGTTTAATCTTGTTGTGTTTTTGATAATTATATCTCCATATTCAATAGAACACATGACCGCTAAAAGAAGAGGAACATTATAACGAAGTAGATATTGATCATAATCAGTGCATGTTACTGGAACCTTTTGATTCATTTCGTGAGCCCATTTCTGAGCATTCATCAAAAACATTTTATACCATATAGTGCGAGAGAGAGAAATCCAATCATCTATAACACGTACATTGATCAACTGGTCGATTTCCATAATCCTTTGAGGAAACGTCTTCAGCACCAGATCTTCCGCATTTTTCTTCCACACTTCTTTCCATTCTTCAAGCTAAAATTTTAATCAGTCTGTTTCCATTTGCATTATACATCATAAAAATATATATTTACTTAAACGATTAACCGCATAGGTAAAGAAGTAATAAGTGTAAAGCAACCAATAGTTAAGTATACCAGTTCTTTTCTTTCACTTCTTTTCACCTTATCAAGGGGAGTGAACCCAGAGCAAAATGAGAATGAGGTCGAAGCGATAATGGCTATTTCAAGTAGCTTCCACGCGTCTATTCATAAGGCTTTGTCGATTACAGGATTAAGATTCCCCGACACGTCATGAAGAAACTGACTGCATATCTTCATCTTCTCTCTTCTCATAATCGGTCGGCAAATTATTGTTCAGTGGTTATTTGATTTATCCTTGATTTTGAAAAGCGCAGTTTGCAAAACTAAAATGGTGATTTGTCTGCAGATCAACCCTTTATTTCACTCAGCATCAATCACAATGGAAATTGTCAGGTGAAACCGTGGCCAGATTGATCACTGACACGTCTTAAACTATCACGATATCAATTGTATCTAAAGACTTCAGGTTGGTGGATGAAGGTGTTTACTGTGGACATTTTGCTGGTGCAGCAGAAGCACTGCACTCTGACATCATTAGGGATCGCTGTTTCTAAGGGTAATAATTTTTTACATCTGATTGTTAGTTTTGACATACATTGCAGTCCTCATTAGGAGAGCGCATTCCTTGTCAGCTACCCTTTTCGAGATCTTTTTGATGTTTTTCAAGGATTCGGAAACTTGAACTTAAGTGCATAAATACACCAGAGCCCAGTGCCTGTGCAACTTCCTAATTTCATCATCAACATCCAAACCCACTCCCTCATTGGGAGCCAAACAACAAAATAGTTAGCTGCGGATTCATCATCATCACAACTTAGACAGCATTGGTTTAACTCTAGAGCAGAAAAGCTTCGCCACTCCTTTTTGAGGTCGAAAACCTGAGAACCGCTGCGCTTACAGGAGAACCAAACTTTATCCGGTCACCTGGCTGCCAAGAATCATGCTACCCTGGTTCTGTGGTTCCATTTAAGATACACGGCACGGGGGTAAGCCCTTTTAAGCAAAAAAGCTGATATTTTTTCTCATAGTTCTAGACCAAGATTCTATTATAACACATGAAGATGATCTGATCACTGATAGCTCATAATCGACCCTCGATCCATGCAAAAACTAACGAAACAGAAATTCTATCCATCTTATTGTCATGAGAATGTTTAACTCGATTTCCATATGAGTTGCGAACAGCAATAAAACATACTGGGGGAAATCTCGTTAAACGACAGCTAGGTCTCTATGCCAGTCGCAAGAGACCTAAATGGCTCATGCTTTCAGTCAAAACTTTAAAGTTTGCGGTTAAAATTAGATCGCCAAAATATCTCGCCTTATTACACAATAAAACATGCCTAAATTAAATAACCAATAAATTAAAAAGCTATAACAAATAAAATCTACGAACAAGAGTCCTAGTTAGTATGGTTATATCACGGTCGCATAAGCCACAGGAAACTCAGCTGCGTTAATTTTCAACTCTGCCTGAATTCCGGAATAATACGCCAGAAACGACAACTGTGCAAAGGGTGTGAAACTCGATCAGAGTACGCCACTGGTGTTTTGAACCGCTACATCACTCGTCCGAAACATCGACACTGGTCTAATGTTCTGAGAATGAAGATGTTCTTGCGAAGCATCTAGAACAGGGAGTTGAAAAACACGCAGCAGTGGGTATTAATTACTAGAGGTGCAGCAACCAAAAGAGGAGACTATAAGTGTAGCGGAGAAGTTGGATCTATGTAACGGAAAGGCATGAACGATCCTTCACTTTTTCAACAATCGCTCAACGTCAACGCATGAATTACATAGAGAAAACACTACATTAACGGCAAAGTCGCATAGCTAACTATCAAGTCGACAAAGTGTAGTAAATTAACAGTTTCAGCTAAAGGATCACTAGTAAATAAAATCAACCCCAAAAGAAAGTTTTTAAAAAAAATTCAAAAATATCACAGGTCGTTCTAAATTAAACGGCAACACATAGACTGCATAAGTCGGTGATTCAGCACGTCAGCTTCCGAAAATGTAACATTGTTTATAAATTTTAGTCAAACGAAACAGCAAATCTGCTACGTTTAGGAGCAACGCAGAAACTGTGTTCATCTACCTGCGAGTCCCAGAAGGTCACGAAACCAGCAAAATGCGACAGATTTACCTTTGACTGGTGTAACTATGTAAAAACTGTTGATGAGGTACGGCAATTGTCGATGAGGTAAAAATTACTGATGAGTTATGGTGTCGTATATCAGCACCCATCCCTTAGAGGAACGTCATCGAAAGTGACAATCAGCACAAGATGCAAACTCACGCTGTTATTTGTTCACCGATGTCAATGCAATAGAAGCGAAGGATCTGTTAAAAATCTACCACTTGTCCTTCGTTCTGCTAACCGTAAAATTAGAAGACGTTTCCGCTACCAGTCATCAGCGACACAGTGAAGCAAGTAGTTCATAAACTTACAAACCGATATATGCGGTATTTCTAAAATGTGTCGAAACAACCTGTGGTAATTGCAATCGGACTTGAAATAATAGAAAAAAAGGACAGACGGAAAGTAAAAACATTTTCAGAACTGCATAATTAACGAAACACTTGAATGATA